CTCAGTAGCCTCGTTTTGTTACATTTGTTCTCAAAATTTATAGTGACAGTACACAAACAACGATCAAATAGGAAAAAAGAAAATAACATAAATACACTAAAAATAAAATAAATAGAAAACAAACTACCATAATTACAGCCAAAAAGCTCTCTAAATATATTGTTTTTCATGTAAATTTTGCCTAAGCAGTTTACATAGTAAAATTAAAGTGACACTAAGCTCAGAAGTTAAACCTTAAAAATACATTCAAGTACCTTAACTATTAACAAAAATGTATCTTATTTATAATTCGGCTGTAGATCCTCAAATGATCTCTGAATTCATGCTGCCAATGTCTTCTGGAGGGTGACTACTTTTGTTCCCCATGGTTCCTCCTCCTGTGATGGACTACAATCTCAATACAAATTAGTAGCCTAAACGTGAGATTGTAGTCCATCACGGGAGTGAGTTGGAGCCGTGGCTTCTTTACAACACACACAGGGACCATGGGGAACACAAGTAGCCACCCTCCAAAAGGAAGGACAGTGCCAGCACCAATCTAGCGTCACTTTAAGTGTCCATTTTGGTGAAGTTTCACCAACAGTAAAATTAGATATTTTGAATTAAAATAGCTCCTATCATCTCTACTGAACACATTTCAAGACAAATTTTCAGTAACCCAATTGATTCAATAATCTGATCAGATCTAGGAATAATCAAACTTTGTCAGCTGCTTTTTAGCATTTTTTTTTCCAGACTAAAAAAGCAAACAAAGCGTACACACTTTTTCAAACCAATCATCCCCCGATCTGACAATAACAAAAAAAAACAACAACTCATATTAATTTGAATGGATAAGGGAAATGTGAATCCTAATTTGGATTGAATAGAAATAAAAAAAGCTTACAAGTGTAAGGTACCATTCAAGGAAATGCTTCCAGGGAAAATTAGACATTTGACAAAATGTTTGTACGTCGGCTCTCACTGATATCACTAGTTCCTATGAACAACTTTGCATTGTACAGAATTGCGGCCTTGCTTACAAAATGGCTTTCTTTACTGTGTGTTGGGGATGGGGACACTTTAGTAAGAGCACATATGTAGATTGTGTTTGAACAGTGGTTTATGTGTATTTTAAGAAGTTTATGATAAAGAAATTTCAAGAATGACTGAGCAAATATAACACTGACATTCTCTAAATAATCTTAAATAATTCTTGAAGTGGTAGCAATTTACGTATTATGTTTAAAGAAAAAAAACACGTTTGAAGTATTTACACCTTTGTTATGTTGTAAATCATGTATACCCAAAGCCGACCATTTGAAGCTAGACTGTGGAAATGAATTTTGCCTTTACGAAACCAAAACAGTCAAAAAAATTTGTATATTTTTTCTTTTTGTTTTTCGTTTTGCTGACTAACCCTTTCTACTTTTATCAATGGATATGTGTAGCATTTGACAAGGCATGCTGGGTTAAAAAAAAAAAAAAATGACTATGCAAAGACGTACAGTGTTGCATGCTCTGCTCTCCCTTGCTTTAGTGGCTTACAGAGATTAAAAAAAAAAAATTGGTGTTATTTTTGTGAAAAAAGGAACATTTAACAAAGCAAATGCAGACTGCATGCTTTCAGCATCCTAATTCCTCTGGACTTGTTTTATGGAATTTAGAAGTGTAACAAAATAAAAAAAAAATTAACTGCATTCACATTTTTTCTATAATAAACGGAAAATCTTGTAAATGTGTGCGTGGCGTGTCTTTTCTTTGGCTTGAATAGAAAAATTAAGAAAAACAAACAAAAAATAATAAAAATTTGTCAATTAACTGCAGTGGAAACGTTTGCATTATTTCCTAGACGGAAAAATGTTTGTGTTTGAACGAGTTGTGTGAAAAATGTTACATTTACTATACAAGACTTCAGCGTCTGCTCTGCAGGTACTTTATATGCAACAATGTAACTGTGCCCTATATGTGCAATCTACCTCATACAGCACAGTGGCCTTACAACCATGAAGTCAAAGGCCTCATTCACACTGCCACACATATACGTGCGTATTGTCCCATATGCAACATATGCAAATAAATGGCTCCATACATATAGCTGCATATGGAGCTGTATATTTGCGTAGCGTAAACGTGCGCAAAATCAGGATGGAACCGAGATGCGTCCGGGCAGCGTATTTCTGCGTACTTACGCGCATATACATGGGTACAGCAGATTAAAAATTCCATTACGAGTGATGCATTCTGGGATTGCATATAGTGCACGCATATATGCGTATAAATACGCGCATATATGCACGTACATACGCGTTTATACGCAATATACAATTTTGCTCTTGCGTTGTGTGTGAATGAGGCCAAAGGTTCACTTCCTAACAGGGACGATATCGGCTTGGAGTTTCTACAATCTCGGTGTGTTTGTGTTTCCTTCATTCAATCCAGTTTTCCTACAAATACTGAAAGATCCGTTGGTTTTCTCCCAAACTGACCCTTGTGTGTGTAGGTCTTGACAGAGGAGTTGGGCTGGGTCCCTGGTATAGGGTTGCCACCTTTTCTTCCAGCAAAACCCAAACACTATAGCGACGCATGGAAATGTTTTGGGGAGGATGAGTTGCGGCTTATTCATATTTAAATAGCGTCACCCATTCATATATAAATATCACAGTTGAGACTATTTTCAGTGGGGGGCCAGTAGCCCCTATTCTAATTTTGGTTGCTCCTGTCTGCCTGACATCTTGTGTCCGGGTTCCTGCTGCCATGAAACCCGGTCCCAGCATTCAAAACCCGAACTGTCCGGGTGAATCCTGGAACGGTGGCAACCCTACCCTGGTATAGGTTGTTTGTTCCAAATGAGTATTCGTACTTACTGCTAACACTAGCACAACATTCACTGGATGTTCTCCTTCATATCTCCGCCTCAGATTATCAGGAGCTCTGCTCTGAGTCTGTAAAAGTAACACTAAGGCCTCATTCACACAGCTAAGAGTCGGCCCGTACAGATCCGTGCGGCGTGCACGGCCGTATCAGGCCGTTCAGGGGAAGGACAAGTGCTGTGTATGATTGTATGCAGCAGCCTGTTCTTCTCTATGGGAGTACGCAACCGTACCCGCCGTACGTTCGAGTACGGTCACCCGCATGCATGTGCAGCTCAGGTGAGTGTATGGCCGCGTCCTCCTATAGAAAAGAACAGGCTGCTGTGTACAATCACACGCACCACCTTTCCTTCCTGGGAGCGGCCCGATACAGCCGTGCACGCCACACGGATCTGTATGGGCCAACTGTGTGAATGTGGCCTAACTCACTCGTCTGTAGATACACAAATCATCTCTGAATTGGAACTGACACTGTCCTTCCTTCTGGAGGGTGGCTACTTTTGTTTCCCTATGCACCCTGTGTGTATTGTAAAGTAGTCACCGCTCCAAGCTCACTCCCGTGATGTACTACAATCTCAATACAAATTAGTAAACTCAACGTGAGATTGTAGTCCATCTGTTGCTTTGTTCAGAATCAATGGAAGACATTGGACCTCTAAAACATGGTATTGGCCCCTCTATTGGCTCAATTACATGTGGATTTCTTAATTTGGGTGACACCTCCTTGTGAGTGGCCCCTGGCTTTGTGGCAAGCTGCCTAAACCACCAGCCCAAATAATGACTACTTTCCTTTCTGTTCTGTCTCCAACCCCTCATTTCAACTTTTTACCAAATGGGTCACCTCGAGTAAAGGTTTTTTAGTAGGCAGCTCCCATGCAATAAACATTGGTCAACTCTTGTTAAAACGTATCCAAAAGTATAGTGAAAGGAGCACCAAAGTTCATTTTTGGATCCAGATATAGCTTATTATTTGTAGCAAAGAAGGTAGGAAGAGAGAGAGCGAGAGGGGGGGAGAGAGAAAGAAAGAAAGAAAGAAAGAAAGAAAGAAAGAAAGAAAGAAAGAAAAAGAGAGAGAGAAAGAAAGAAAAGGAAGGAAGAAAGAAAAAGAAGGAAGAAAGAAAGAAAAGGAAGAGAGAAAGAGAGCAAGGGGGAGGAAAAAAATAAAGAGAAGGAAGAGAGAAAGAAAGAGAGAGAGAGAGAGAGAGAGAGAGAGAGAGAGAGAGAGAGAGAAAAGAAGGAAGAGAGAAAGAAAAAGAGAGAGAAAGAAAGAAAGAAGTTGTAATGTTCTTCCTCTCCAAGTCCAGCCCCCTCTTTGCTCACCAGCAGAGAAGAGAATTGTGGACACTGGGTATATCAGAAATATAACAACGGACGTGAAAAAAACAGAGCTGGTAAATGATTATTTTGCCCTGATCTGGAAGATGTGTGCATGGCACGGGGTGTGTCCGTTGCTATTTAATGTTCCTCCTTCTCATCTTGGAAAGTTGGAGGTATGATGCAGGTACATTTATTCATTTTTTTTGCAAAAGGTGGAATGAGCCTTTAAATCTCAATGTCCGGGACATTGCATGGACAATATTCAACACCCAGAACCAGGGCCGGTCCAAGGATCAGGCAGAAGTTGCAGCTGCCTTGGGACCTCCAGCAGGAAGGGGGCGAGAATGGCAGGACATGCAACATATGTTGATGAAGTACTTTGCAGCTCATGGGACATCAATACCCACAAATCTATAAAATACGTACAATACTGCAAAACAAAAATTAAAAATGCACCCCTTTAATAAAACGTCATTTTTTGAAGGGTGAAGACATGACGTCATCCCTATGTCATTAGAAGCCAGTTGCTCAATAGTTGCATTAGGGCTTTGGCTCAAACAAAATGGCAGCCGAAACCCGAACACAGCTGAGAAGCGTGGACAATATTAAGCGCACTTTTATATTTAGGTTTAAACTCTAGCAAATGTTCTCGCCGATATCAGCCACGTATCAAGTCTTAATCAGCTGTAGTGCGAAAATTGTCTCCATAGCGCCACGTTGAGCGACCGGGCGCAGCCATTTTGTCGAAGTTCGAGAAATGATGAAAGTTTACGGAAAGGACATAAGAAAAATGTCTCTGCTATCGGGGACACGATAATAGCAGGTGTTTAGAAAGGCGGAGGTCAGTAGGGCGAGCGGGGATCTTTGCTGACGTCACTAGCGGTGCGTCTGACGGTGTGTCACTGGCGGAGTGGGGTGTATCGGTGGACATGGCGGAGCTGAGGAGGGCCGTGTGATGCGGAGGAGCGGCCCTTCCAGTGAAGCGGACAGAGACGCCTTCTAGCATGGGAATCCTATTCGCCAAGATATGGAGGCTCTTCAGCAACCAGGGTAAGAGGGCCTGCCTGAGAGAGAGAGAGAGTCACATGACACCACCTGCTGCTGGGGGAACTACATCTCCCAGCATGGCCTGTCAGCTGGAGGCCTAGCTAGGAATTGTCCGTAGGGATGGTAAAGCCCCACCTCGCTGGCTTCGCAGGGACTGCTACACAATATGGATTGTGGAACAACATATAGGGGCCCATTCACACTCAGGTGTTCTGTTGATACAAGCTATGGCGGTCATTGATTATTGGCTACAGCAACCGATAACAAAATGTATGCGGCCCATGGCGCACTCCGGTGTGTTTTGCTTGATTGTACAATGCGTTGGGGTGTCATTCACAATGAATGAGTGTGTATAAAGCAGGTGCGTTGCTGTGCATTGTGGAAACGGCAAAGTGTTAGCGCTCATTCGCACCAGCTCGCGCGCTAAAGCGGGACCGGTCTCTATTGTGCGGGGGTGGTGCCTTGTGTTGTTTCAATGCGAGGCACTGTTTACTTTTTTTTGGAAAAAAACTTTATTGACATGTTACAAACTTAAATTTAATCCATTTCTATGCCCCACAGGTAAGTTGCTGTGGGGTGACTGCTCTGACGCTAAACAGGACACGTGAGGAACAATTGTTTGCAGTGTGAGCCTGCCGTGATCGATGCAAATCAGTGCAGGTCAACAAGCCCTAAGTTGGCCTTGTTTAATTCCATTTGGATTAAGGGATTCATTATCCAATATCTGTCTTATATGCAGCATGAAAGAAAACTGTTCGTTGGAAGCAAATCCTTAATAAAATGATGGAGGAAAACAAAAGGGGTACAAAACATTAGATGTGGATCAAAGGGGTGACATAAAAGCACTAAAACAGGTGAAATGCACAAAACAAAACCTTTTTAGACCGAGTGAGGAGGGATTAGAACCCCTGCTTGTGAAGGAAAATCTTCTCAATGAGACACAACTAGCAACTTAAAAAAAATAAGCTGACGGGTTATAACCCCCCCCCCCCCCCTTACTCTATCCAAAGCTAAAAAAAACAAACCAAAAAATAAAAGGTTTTGACTTTAGTTCTTCTTAAAGTGACATTAAAGATACAGTCTGCCTATCTAGAGCCTGAGCCAGCTGTACTCGTCCCCTCCCACGTCCGTTCCGACCAGTCAGCGCTGGAGGAGGGGGGAATCCCTGCAGGTAACCGTGAGTGACAGTCACGGCTCTCTGCAGGGAGATGATCGAGAAGTGAGTGAGCGACGGTATGTGTTTGCTCACTTCCCGATCTACTGAGCCGACCAGTGACAGTTTCATTGTCGCACGTCGGCTCAAACTAGGAGTTATAGTGAAAATCACTCACCTCATAGTTCAGCAATCCCTCCAGCGCTGGTGGCGGTCTCTGATCCAGCACAGACTCCTCGTGTCTCACGGTGCCTGTCCGACGTGCACGCTCCCCGCTGTGTTCATTCACCTCCACTGTGTCTCTCCTCTTCTCCCGGCCGATGATCTCTACTGCGCAAGCGCCCACCCCTTCATCCTTCACGGCCGCTGGAGAATCTTCAGACGGAAGCGAGCGGCGGAGACAGAGCTAAGTAATTCGCTTCTTGGTAACTTTTTAATGTTTTTGCATATATCTACTGCTTGCTAGCCATGCATATATGTAAAAACAAAAGTGACTTTAATACTACTTTTAAAGCATCACTAAACTCGATAGTTAAAGTAGTATTAAAGGCTGCTCATTTCTTACCCTAATGCATTCTCAGCATTAAAGTAAAAAATAGGGATGCACCGATACCGGTCCTTCGGTATTGAGTACCGATACATTTTTTTTGGTACTCGTCGAGACTGAAAGTCCCGTTGAGGAAGCCAGGCAGCGTGTAATGACTCGCCACCCGGTTACCCAATTAGCAGGGAAGCCGTCCCCATGCTTGTCATCACTATGTGACGAGGGAGCATGAAGCCGGCTTCCTGGCCTTCCGTTCTACTTGCATAGAAAAAAAACAGGTAATTAAAGGAGAACTATGGGGTCAGTGTTTTTCCCCATAGTTCTCCTTAGGGTAACAGGAGGACACAAACTAGCGTCCTCCCGTTACCCTAAGCTCAGTATACCGCGAAGCTTACTCCCATTACCCTAAGCTTTGCAGTATACTGAGATGCCGGAGCGGATCCCGACTTAGATGACGGGATCCGCCCAGCTGCGTGAGTGTACCCGCCCCTCCCCCGTCCGTTCCGCCAGTCAGCGCGGGGAGAGGGGAATCCAGCCCCTCCCCCTGTCACGGCAGAGAGCCGTGACAGGATCGAGAGGTGAGCGAACCCGTTATGTGTTCGCTCACCTCCCGATCGCTCAGGATGAATTTTTAGTCAGACATTCACAGCCTCAAAACAGGCAAGTGTTGTTTGCTGTGTTGCCTCTTTAGCTCACCCATAAGGTGCCCATACACCTGCCGATTATCGTACGGGAAATCCCGCGATCGTACAAAAATCTTCAGGTGTGTGGAAGGCGTGCGACCGTTTCTACTGTACAGTTGCACGTCTTTTGTCTTACGAGCAGGCTCAAAAACCCGCTGAGAAACGTACGATTGTCGGCAGGTTAGTGGCGTGCTCGTAAAACAAATGCCGCACGGTGCCGGTGTGCGCAAGCGCACACTGCCCGTTCAGCATTGCAGTCATCGGAAGTCGATGACCAAGATGGGCAGATCGTATGTTTTTTTTAAATTACCTTACAACCATCGCAAGACAAAAGTCTTGCGATGGTTGTAAGGTGTATGGCCCGCTATAGTGTGCTGAAAAATCTAGAGCTGCAGCTAACGATTATTTTCAAAATCGATTCGTTAGCCGATTATTAAGTTCGATTAATCGGATAAAAAATAAAATACATTTTAAAAAATGGCTCCAGTGATGGACTTCTAGTTTGTATTGAGATTGTAGTCCATCACAGGAGCAAGCTTGGAGCGGTAGAAGTAACAAAGAAAAAGAAAGTGTTGTGTACAATATAGTGAAATGAAAAGTGTAAAATTATACAGCAATGAATGCAGAATGGCACCGGATATAGAGGACTGCAAAAAAATCCTTTGCCCTGTGTTTATGCTCCTATCAAACTTTCATTTTAAATCAGCTAAATACATTGCAGGTGCAGCAAAAATAAATAATTTGTAAAGTCTTCCAGTTTGTTTTCTGCAGAAAGCATTTTTAACCTGACTAGACAAGCCTGTCCATGCCAGCGTGCTGCAGAGAAGAACTCTTGCGCTCTGTGTGGAAGCAGTGGTCTCTCTGCAGAGGTCTGACACACCCCCCTGTTGAGTCAGAGCTGTCCGATTAGTTGGAAGCATGGGCTTTGCTGATTGCAGAGCCATCCAAGTCATATGTGGATCATTTATACATCAAGTGACCTAAGTGTATTTTTTAGCTTTCTTATAACAATATATGCTTCTGAAACCTTGACTCTTCCTGGTCAATGTGTTTTAATATAAAGTGAATGATTCACCACCAGCAAATACTTGGTGAATGTCACAGTCACTGCTTTATAAATATGCCCCATGAGCAGCTTCAGTTTTTTAATGCACTGAATGTCATGTATGAGCTGCTCTGCATCTTGCCTGACCTTTAAACTGGTGCACGGATGATGTGCGTACAGTCAGCATTGCTCAGAGCGCTGACGTCATCCCGGAGTGAAGATAATTACCTCATTTGACTTTATCAGACTTGTGGCACTTGTGAAGGTGTTGAGCTGCCTTTGCTGTGTGCTACATTTGGATCTTAAATTGTTGGACCTTTACCCCCTTTCAGTAAAAATCACCTCAGCAGCAGCTCTGCATGCTGATATGAAATCTTCTTACGTTCATTAGTTAAACAAACATATTTTTCTTCTTTACTACAATTATTGTTTTTTTTCCACGCCCTGGTCCTCCTGGGCATTAGTGATGTTATGTGCCCAAGCATTGCATCTTGGGAAGGTTACAGCAGCAGAGCATCGCTGGGAAATCTCATCTGTAATCTCAGGGAAATGATCAAACTACAGCGTGCGGAAGGGAACACAAACATCTGACACTACTGGAAATGTTGGAAGCTGAAGAGTCTGATAGAGTGCTGGAACGGAGGAGAGGTAGAAGACATGGGCTACCAGAGGGGTGAATATAATAGCTCTTCTGTTTCAGAACACTGGCATTAGGATACAAGAAAGGCAATTTATCAAAACTGGAGCAGACAAAATCTGGAGCAGCTGTGCATGGCAACCAATCAGCCTCTCCCATTCATTGTCAAATCTTTACTGAACAAACTGAAGAGAGAAGCTGATTGGTTGCCATTCACAGCTGCTCCAGTTTTGATGAATTCCCCCCAAGGTGTTCTGTGCATATTCGTGGGAAGGGTGGATGAATGACAGGATCACCCTTACCCATTCACAAACTGCCCTGCGTTGTGTAAATAGAACTGGGGCAAGGCTGGGCAAACTCTGGCCCTCCAGCTGTAGTGAAACCACAACTCCCATCATGCATCTGCCTCTAGAGCCATGCCTGTGGCTGTCTGAGTCCTGCCATGCCTTATGTATTTGCACCACAGCTGGAAGGCTGGAGTTTGCCTGAATAGGCGAGAGTGGCGGAAAGGAGGATGAACAGCACAGAGCCCTCACTGTTACGAGGCAATTAGCACACAGCTCCAGGAGTTCACCATTGTCAGGAGGGTCCGGCATCAGTGAAGGGAGGATTTTTTCAAATTGCAATTGCCAATAGCGGGCTGGCTGTTGCACCCGCCCACTGCTTGCTGTGCCCTCCTCCCAGCATGGAGGAGTGAGCTAGGGGATCCAACCAACTAATCGATGATAATATTAATAGTTGACAACTGTTGTCATTATCGATTAGTTGGTTGCAGCCCTACATACAATCCACTTCATTAGAGGTTATGTCCCTGGTGCTGTATCCCCTCAAAACATAACCTAAGTTATTTAAACCGTAAGGCCATAATCCCACCTCCAAATGGGGCCAATCGCATGAGTCTCACTAATTCCTTCTGCATGCATCAAATGGCATGAGTCTCAGAAGGATTTCTTGAAACTCGTGATTGCCCCATACGCTGGTGGGATAGTGTGCCGCTGATGAGGCTGATTGTTTATAGAATGTGATGGCGTTCTGCGGAGCTTGATCCATGTTTGTTAAACATTCCCTGATGAGCGCCTGTCTGCTAATCTGCCGTGTGGGATTTACAGAGCTCAGCTACTCCACCGAGATCCTATTAATGATTCAGTATTTATGTGCATTGGATAGCTTGTTGCTGGCTCAGGTGTAATCTATCTCCTTAGTGGAAGGAGATCTATAGCAGAAAGTACAGCCGCTGCCGTAGCGGACACTTCCTGGATCATCTCCTGTTGACAAAATAGAAAAAGAAATCCTTTTAAAAGTTCAAACATAATTCTAGGAAAGTCTCACTATATGTACAGTCATTCACTTTATTTTTTTTAACAGTGTTATTTGTTATTGGCTTCAAGTGACACTAAACTCAGTAGGTAAAGTACCTGAACTTTGAAATCATCTCTGAATTAGTGCTGACACTGTCCTTCCTTCTGGAGGGTGGCTACTTTTGTTCCCTATGCACCCTGTGTGTATTGTAAAGTAGTCACCGCTCCAAGCTCACTCCTGTAATGGACTACAATCTCATCACGTCGATTACGAGAGTGAGCTTGGAGCGGTGACTACTTTACAACACACACAGGGACCATGGGGAACAAAGTAGCCCCCCTCCAGAAGGAAGGACAGTGTCGGCACCAATTCAGAGATGATTTGAGGATCTACAGCCGAGTGAGACACAAATAAGATACATTTTTGTTAATAGTACTTGAATGTAAGAAGACGAGCTAAGGGTTAGTAAACGCATTGGCTGTAGGTTACCTGTAGCAGATCTTTTCCCATTGCTGACTTGCCGTGCCTTGTTGCACACAATTTCTAGGTGTTGAGGTGCCAACTTGGTAGAAAAGCAGGGTTTTGTTTCCTTGTGTCGGAGCTACCCCCCAGATGACTGCTTAAAGGAGAACTATGGGGTTAGGGATTTTCCCCATAGTTCTCCTTAGGGTAACGGGAGGATACAAACTAGTGTCCTCCCATCACCCTAAGCTCAGTATACAGCAGGAGAAGTGCAAAAAATGCAGATTTACAGAATTGAGCGAGGACATCCCTTTATGTTCTTAGTTACAGTTTCCTCTAGATCAAGGAGAATAGTGAGTGACCTCTCTGAATCTGATTCCAAGTTCCTAGCAATGAATATATAGTATACCTCATAGCGGGTTTCCTGCTAGTAGTGGACAGTGCCTGAAAAATGTGTGGAAATGGGCATTTGTTACTTTCATGAGAAGCCCATGTGACAGAGTGACGACACAGGAGCACACTTGGCAGATGGTGGACAGTGTTGCCTTCATGGCAGGGTTATGAGGCACACCCAGCTCTGTGAATGGCACAGAGTTCAGTGGAGACTGGGCCAATTACACAACTTTTCAGACTAGCTGCTCATAGACAGCAGGCTCCCTCAGCACCACTGAGTGTAATATCCGGATGCTGTGAATGGTGCAGTGAAGTGAAGCAACTGGAGTCTTACCTTGGTGTGTATCCTTAGGGATGCACACCAATATACCACATATCGAACGTGTTTGGTGCTGTATCCCCCTCCTCCCCTTAAGTTTTAAGTTTCACCTGATGGCCCTTTGTCTTCCTTTCTGATGCCTTGCCTACAGTCCACCACCACCCCTTTCACCCACAGGAGCTCTGTTGGGTATCTGGTACTTCAGGTATAGGGAAGTTATTATATCTTGTGTGTTTCTGTTGCATTGCACATTTTTTTCTTTTTTTCTTATACTTGTAGGTTTTTTTTTTTTTTTTTACTTAATTGTAATTGAAAACATTTTATAATCGAAACTACATTTTCTTCTCCCTTTTTGTGTATTTCAGAGCACAAAGTGATCATTGTGGGACTGGATAATGCTGGAAAAACAACAATATTATATCAGTTGTAAGTATCTTTTTAGCTGAACCGCAGACAGGAAGTTGCCCTTTCCAGAATTTGAGTGATCTGAGTTTTGCGTGTTAGTGTGCACAGGGACTGAACAATTGTTAGGCCTGGGCAGCCAATGTGCCTGTGTAACTTTTTGTCTTCCTTTCAGAAAGACGTGTTCTCTTTTGGTTACAGACCGCGCAGATAAGCATTTATTTTTCAAGGAGTTATTTTAAGAGCGATTTGATCTCTGGAGGACATTTGCTCCTTTTTTTTGTCTTTCTTTCAGAAGCCCTTTTTTTATTGCTGAGCCAGGGAACATGTATCCCCACTCAGCCAGTCAGCCCAGTGGGGGAGCCAGCATGCTGTTTTAATGTTACTCTTGCCATCCCAAAAAATTGCTCTGTCCTGTATTAGAAGTAATGTCCTGCAATAGAAGTGGAATTATACTTGTGCCTCCTGATGAAAAAGTTGCAGTTTTCATCAGTCTTTCCAGCTTTCAACACTTTTGGAAGTTTCGGATGCCTGTGTCCCCCACCGCATGCTGTGGTTCCATCTGCTGACTCCTACATCATTACAGGAGACAGTAGAGGGCAGAGGATGAAACCACAGTGCTCATCGGGGGGTACAGACATCTGACACTCACAGAAGTGCTGAATGCTGAAGAGTTTGTTGAAGGCTGCAGCGCGTGAATGGAGAGACTGTAAGACAAATGAAAAATGAGCCACAGGAATGTTAGTCGTATTAAACTCCTCAAACTTTTTTAATGAATGAATCCATATCAAACAAATATACATTGCCCAGCAAAGCATTGCTTTACTTGTTTGCCCAAATATTTCCAAGTCTCTCAGCTCAGCTTCCTTGAACTTCCTGTTCAGTACAAAATCACAAGGGACAGAGCAGACTCCAGCAACTGATCATATACTAGCTGGGAGGAGAGGGGGGGAGGTAGCTTGATTTGCTGTGTTTGTGGAGACACACACAGCGTAGCATAAAGTCCATTTAAACCTGTTTATTTATTACTGTAATACAGTCGGGTTGCAAATGCTGTCATAAATATACTTTCACTTTTCAGCCAAGTACTGCATCAAGGGTTAAAAACAGCAGCACTTAGGAGAGTCAGGCCTGCTCTCACCCTCAAGCTCTCCCAAAATCCAACACACCCCACTAAGCCCTGAGCAGTGCTTTTGATTAGAGCGGGGTTCAGGGGATGTGTCAGAAAGCTGGACTGCAGCTTGTGTGTATGAGAGTGACAATCCCACTCTCCTACTGCTGCCAGCACAGGGTTTTTTTTTAACCCTTGACGTAACACATTGGTGATATTAAAAAGGTAAAGAGGCAAAACTCAGAATTTATAGTAGTTTATGTGCACTACCAAAATTGTCTGACTGATTGGAGATAAGTAAAAATCAGTAATTGATTGGCAGAACTGTAAGTCCTCTATGGTGTAATGTACATAACAGCAAACCTTGATTAATCACATAGTGCTACAACTGTGTGCAGTTTATCCCTGCCGTGGTGTACTTGTGTAGCTTACACTATACAGTAAGGAGTCACACATACACACGCACACATAGGATGAAGTAGATGGGCTTGGCTTTATTTAACCTTAACAACTATGTAACTATTTCATGTTTGTTGTGGTTGTGCAATAAATCTCAGGCTTTTTTGGAGCGCGATTAAGCCACGTTTAGGACTTATTATAGTGAAGCTGCTTAACTGGAATTCTTATCATTGGAGTATATCTGTATCTTCCAGTTCCATGAACGAGGTGGTGCACACGTCCCCAACAATCGGGAGTAACGTGGAGGAGATTGTGGTGAACAACACTCGATTTCTGATGTGGGACATCGGAGGACAGGAATCTCTCCGTTCTTCATGGAACACCTATTACACAAACACTGAGGCAAGCACATTCTTCTGATTCATCTGTATGTCAGGGTAAAAAGCCTGCTAGTATGGCGTGTGTGTATAGGAATATGTTGTTTCTTGATTGACAATCTTAAAGGTTAAATATTCTTGATAACGCTGGATTATGGGCTCAAACCAGTTTGGTCAGAAAAAGCGAATTACATCATAGTAGAGTTTTTTTTCTTCACGAACTGCAACTGCTTACTTTATGTTCTTTTTATTGTGCACATGTGCCTACAACATGCCATACCTTGGAGTACTGCATGCCGGGATACCTGGTCACAAAGCTGGATCACCTGCAAGGCAAACTAGACAGGCCCCTACGACCTGCCCAGGTGTCTACGACCTGCCGGATGGTGGGTCTAGTCCAGGGTGCCAACTTCAGCCTATATGCTGCTGTGGAAAACCAAGGGGATTGACCGGTTGGTCAAAGCTTTGCACCTGCCTGCTTCTGCACAAGGGAAGATGCACTTGTAGGTACTTGTGTCTGATGTGACCAGCCTTGCTGGTAAAGACAATGCAAATCGTGTTGCTTGTCTGTGCCTATTGCAGTATTGAACTAAGTGAATAGTGAAATAAGTCTTTATCGGGAAGACAAGAGTGGCAGTGCCATCCTTTCATCATTAGTTTGTTGTACCTTGGGCATTTTTCAGCTAGCCAGCATGGGCATGCTTTATGGTCTGCCACAGTTGCCCTTTAATTATATATATATATATTTTTTTTTTTTTTTATCCCTGTGCAT